TATGATAGAATTATAGGATAGACAACTGGTAGCATCATGTCAGGTATATGATAGAATTATAGGATAAACAACTGGTAGCATCATGTCAGGTATATGATAGAATTATAGGTCAGACAACTGGTAGCATCATGTAAGATAGATAATAGAATTATAGGATAGACATCTGGTGGCATCATGTAAGATAGATAATAGAATTATCGGATTGACAACTGGTAGCATCATGTAGGATAGATAATAGAATTACAGGACAGACAACTGGTGGCATCATGTAAGATAGATAATAGAATTACAGGATAGACAACTGGTGGCATCCTATGAGATAGATAATAGAATTATAGGATAGACAACTGGTAGCATCATGTCAGGTATATGATAGAATTAAAGGATAGACAACTGATAGCATCATGTCAGGTATATGATAGAATTATAAGATAGACAACTGGTTGCATCATGTCAGGTTTATGATAGAATTATAGAATAGACAACTGGTAGCATTATGTCAGGTATATGATATAATTATAGGATAGACAACTGGTAGCATCATGTCAGGTATGTGATAGAAATATTGGATAGACAACAGGTAGCATCATGTCAGGTATATGATAGAATTATAGGATAGACAACAGGTAGCATTATGTCAGGTATATGATATAATTATAGGATAGACAACTGGTAGCATCATGTCAGGTATGTGATAGAAATATTGGATAGACAACAGGTAGCATCATGTCAGGTATATGATAGAATTATAGGATAGACAACAGGTAGCATCATGTCAGGTATATGATAGAATTATTGGATAGACAACTGGTAGCATCATGTCAGGTATATGATAGAATTATTGGATAGACAACTGATAGCATCATGTCAGGTATATGATAGAATTATAAGATAGACAACTGGTAGCATCATGTCAGTTATATGATAGAATTATAGGATAGACAACTGGTAGCATCATGTCAGGTATATGATAGAATTATAGGATAGACAACTGGTAGCATCATGTCAGGTATATGATAGAATTATAGGATAGACAACTGGTAGCATCATGTCAGGTATATGATAGAATTATTGGATAGACAACTGGTAGCATCATGTCAGGTATATGATAGAATTATAGGATAGACAACTGGTAGCATCATGTCAGGTATATGATAGAATTATAGGATAGACAACCGGTAGCATCACATCAACTATATGATAGAATTATAGGATAGACAACTGGTAGCATCATGTCAGGTATATGATAGAGTTATAGGATAGACAACTGGTAGCATCATGTCAGGTATATGATAGAATTATTGGATAGACAACTGGTAGCATTATGTCAGGTATATGATAGAATTAAAGGATAGACAACTGGTAGCATCATGTCAGGTATATGATAGAGTTATAGGATAGACAACTGGTAGCATCATGTCAGGTATATGATAGAATTATAGGATAGACAACTGGTAGCATCATGTCAGGTATATGATAGAGTTATAGGATAGAAAACTGGTAGCATCACATCAGGTAAATGATAGAATTATATGATAGACAACTGGTGGCATCATTTCAAATAAATGGTAGAATTATGAGATAGACAACTGGTGGCATCATGTAAGGTAGATTATATAATGGACAACCAGTGGTATCATGTCAGGTATATGTTAGAATTATGGGATAAACAATTAGTGGTATCATGTCAGATACATTTCAGGATTATAGTATAGACAACTGGTTGCATTACGTCAAATATATGTTAGGATTTTGTGATAGAAAACTATATTTTAATGTCAGATCAATGTTATAGAATTATGGGATAGACAACTATTGGTATGATATCTGATATATATGATATAATTATGAAATAGACGACCAGTGGAATCATGTTAGATACATGTTATAATTATGGGATAGCTAACCAGTGGTATCATGTCAGATATATTTAGAAATATGAGATAAACAAAAGTGGCATTCAGTATACATGTTTGAATTATTTGAAAGACAACCAGTGACATCATGTCAGGTATTTGGTGGAATTATGAGATAGATAACCAGTGACATCATGTCAGGTATATGGTGGAATTATGAGATAGATAACTAGTGACATCATGTCAGGTATATGGTGGAATTATGAGATAGATAACTAGTGACATCATGTCAGGTATATGGTGGAATTATGAGACAGATAACTAGTGACATCATGTCAGGTATATGGTGGAATTATTAGATAGATAACTAGTGACATTATGTCAGTTATATGGTGGAATTATGAGATAGACAACCAGTGACATCATGTCAGGTATATAGTGGAATTATGAGATAGATAACCAGTGACATCATGTCAGGTATATGGTGGAATTATGAGATAGATAACTAGTGACATCATGTCAGGTATATGGTGGAATTATGAGATAGATAACTAGTGACATCATGTCAGGTATATGGTGGAATTATGAGATAGATAACCATTGACATCATGTCAGGTATATGGTGGAATTATGAGATAGATAACTAGTGACATCATGTCAGGTATATGGTGGAATTATGAGATAGATAACCAGTGACATCATGTCAGGTATATGGTGGAATTATGAGATAGATAACCAGTGACATCATGTCAGGTATATGGTGGAATTATGAGATAGATAACTAGTGACATCATGTCAGGTATATGGTGGAATTATGAGATAGATAACCAGTGACATCATGTCAGGTATATGGTGGAATTATGAGATAGACAACCAGTGACATCATGTCAGGTATATGGTGGAATTATGAGATAGATAACCAGTGACATCATGTCGGGTATATGGTGGAATTATGAGATAGATAACCAGTGACATCATGTCAGGTATATGGTGGAATTATGAGATAGATAACTAGTGACATCATGTCAGGTATATGGTGGAATTATGAGATAGATAACCAGTGACATCATGTAAGGTATATGGTGGAATTATGAGATAGATAACTAGTGACATCATGTCAGGTATATGGTGGAATTATGAGATAGATAACTAGTGACATCATGTCAGGTATATGGTGGAATTATGAGATAGATAACCAGTGACATCATGTCAGGTATATGGTGGAATTATGAGATAGATAACCAGTGACATCATGTCAGGTATATGGTGGAATTATGAGATAGACAAATAGTTTCATCATCCCAGATACATGTTAGAATTATGAGATAGATAACTAGTGGCCTCAATCAAGATAAAAGTTAAAATTATGTGATAGACAACCAATGGATGATGTGATAAATATGATGAAAGAATCTTAGACATCCTTACAAATAACAGATATTTGATTGTAATATCACCACTTGTACAAGTTATGTAATGTTTTGCAAAATAACTATACACAAGTGATTTAATATTTTGTAATGTCTTATTTTACAGAAGTGATGTGATATTTCATAACATCACCACTTCTACAAGAGATGTGATGTTTGCAATTGTTAAAGCTTACACAAGTCATGTGATTTTGTTTTGTAATATCACTACTTACACAAATCATGTGATGTTTTGTAATTTCACCATTTACACAAGTGAGGTGATATTTTGTAATGTCACCACTTACACAAGTTATGGGATATTTTGTAATGACACCACTCACACAAGTGATGGGATATTTTGTAATGTCACCACTTACACAAGTGATGGGATATTTTGTAATGTCACCACTTACACAAGTGATGTGATATTTTGTAATGTCACCACTTACACAAGTGATGTGATATTTTGTAATGTCACCACTTACACAAGTGATGTGATATTTTGTAATGTCACCACTTACACAAGTGATGTGATATTTTGTAATGTCACCACTTTCACAAGTGATGTGATATTCTGCATTGTTACCATTTACACAACATGTTCACTCAAGACTATGTTTATAATTGACATAGAGCAGAGAATTCTTTTCACACTATATCAGCACCTGATCCTGTCAGTTGTTGATTATGGCCTTGGAATACTTACCGTCTCAAGGAGTCAGACTGACAAACTAGAGCGCATACAGAACGCAGCTATGCGGGTCATTCTGGGTTGCACCAGAGACACAACAGTGGTGTGTGTGTGCAATACACCCTTGGTTTGCCGACTGTTGCAGGTAGGCACAAGGTGCTGCAGACCAAGTCATATCTCAGGGTAGCTGCAGACACAGACCACCCTTTGCACGAAGCTCTGAGTACAGTTAAGGGTCAGCGGCTGATAAGAGGAACGTCATGGAGGGCTCAGGCAGAAGACACAATCAGACAGGTGTGCATCCTTGAGAACATAAGCCGAGGAGAGGAGTGGGTCAAAGTGCCACCTGAACAGTCAGACTTGTGTAGGGTCATAATCACACGGAACCGGGAATGCAGAAACTGGCCAGCAGGTGCCACAGAGGTGGAAATTTACACTGACGGTTCAGTGTCAAGAGGCAAAAGAAGTGCTTGGGGTTTCCTTGCAAAAGTTAATGGTAATGAGGAGTATTGTTTGGACTTTTTCACCAGGGCTGGCCGGTGTGTTGGGAAATGAACAGGCAGACAGACTGGCTGGCTTTGCACAGCTTGGTGGAGTAATGATGCATGATAAGGCAGATGTGGTTAGTGCCTTGTGGGAGAGCTTGTACAGTTTGGAGAAGCAAATGGATCACCACAGTCTGGTGAGATTGATGCAGGGGGGAGTGACGAGATGTTCGAGGCTCAGAGGAAAGGTAAGACGGACATTTAATCAGAATGCTAATGGTACCATTAGAATCGGAACTCTTTACTGGCTGCTGAAGATAGGGACGGAGTGCTTTTTGGAATGCCCCGAGTGCTGTGATGTCGGTTCTTGAATCAACTCAACCATTTACACAAGTAATGTCTCAGCTTACACAAGTAGTGTGACGATTTGTAATTACACCACTTACACATTTGAAGTGATAGTTTATAATGTTACCATTTAAGCAAGTGATGTAATGTTTTGTAATATCACCACGTACACAAGTGATGTGATGTTTTTTAATATCAAAACTTACACAAGTGATGCGGGGTTCATTCCAGACTTGCAGGCATCTTCTATCTTTGATTTGTCAGAATTCTGGAAGATCTTCTTGGCTGCAGCAAGTTCTGCTTTTGTTAACAAGTGGACGAGAGAATCCTGCAAGACAGATCATAATCAGCTCAGTAGCAAGTGTCTATGTATTCACATCAACATTGGCCTGTGTGTTTAAGTCATCAACGGCAAGTTTCTACATAACATGTTCATGTCAACAATGACAGGTGTCGACAGGTTACGCCAACAATGGCAAATGTCTACATATCATATTCATATTAACAATGGCAGGTGTCTACATAACATGTTCATGTCAACTATGGCAGGTTTCTACATGTTTATGTCAACTATGACAGGTGTCTACATGTTTATGTCAACAATGACAGGTGTCTACATGTTTATGTCAACAATGACAGGTGTCTACATGTTTATGTCAACAATGACAGGTGTCTACATGTTTATGTCAACAATGACAGGTGTCTACATGTTTATTTCAACTATGGCAGGTGTCGACATGTTTGTGTCCACAATGGCGGGTGTCTACATGTTTAAATCAACAACAATGGCAGTTTTCAGCTGGTTGTGTCAACTATGGCAGGTGTTGACATGTTTATGTCAACAATAGCGGTCATCCACTGGCTTGTGTCAAATATGGCAGGTGTCTACACGTTTATGTCAACAATGTCAGTTGTCTACTGGTTTGTGTCAACTATGGCAGGTGTCGACAAGTTTGTGTCAACTATGGCAGGTGTCGACATGTTTGTGTCAACTATGGCAGGTGTCTTCTGGTTTGTGTCAACTATGGCAGGTGTCGACATGTTTGTGTCCACAATGGCGGGTGTCTACATGTTTAAATCAACAATGGCGGTTGTCTTCTGGTTTGTGTCAACTATGGCAGGTGTCGACATGTTTGTGTCAACTATGGCAGGTGTCGACATGTTTGTGTCCACAATGGCGGGTGTCTACAAGTTTAAATCAACAAAGGCGGTTGTCTTCTGGTTAGTGTCAACTATGGCAGGTGTCGACATGTTTGTGTGAACTGTGGCAGGTGTCGACATGTTTGTGTCAACTATGGCAGGTGTTGACATGTTTGTGTCCACAATGGCGGGTGTCTACATGTTTAAATCAACAATGGCGGTTTTCTTCTGGTTTGTGTCAACTATGGCAGGTGTTGACATGTTTGTGTTTACTATGGCAGGTGTCGACATGTTTGTATCCACAATGTTTAAATCAACAATGGCGGTTGTCTTCTGGTTTGTGTCAACTATGGCAGGTGTTGACATGTTTGTGTCAACTATGGCAGGTGTCGACATGTAAGTGTCCACAATGTTTAAATCAACAATGGCGGTTGTCTTCTGGTTTGTGTCAACTATGGCAGGTGTTGACATGTTTGTGTCAACTAAGGCGGGTGTCTACATGTTTAAATCAACAATGGCGGTTTTCTTCTGGTTTGTGTCAACTATGGCAGGTGTCGACATGTTTGTGTCAACCATGGCAGGTGTCGACATGTTTGTGTCAACTATGGCAGGTGTCGACATGTTTGTGTCAACTATGGCAGGTGTCGACAGGTTTATGTCAACTATGGCAGGTGTCGACATGTTTGTGTCAACTATGGCAGGTGTCGACATGTTTGTGTCAACTATGGCAGGTGTCGACATGTTTGTGTCCACAATGGCGAGTGTCTACATGTTTAAATCAACAACAATGGCAGTTTTCAGCTGGTTGTGTCAACTATGGCAGGTGTTGACATGTTTATGTCAACAATGGCGGTTATCTACCGGTTTGTGTCAACTATGGCAGGTGTCTACACGTTTATGTCAACAATGTCAGTTGTCTACTGGTTTGTGTCAACTATGGCAGGTGTCGACATGTTTGTGTCAACTATGGCAGGTGTCGACATGTTTGTGTCCACCATGTTTAAATCAACAATGGGGGTTGTCTTCTGATTTATGTCAACAATATCAGTTGTCTCCTGGTTTGTGTCAACTATGGCAGGTGTTGACATGTTTGTGTCAACTATGGCAGGTGTCGACATGTTTGTGTCAACTATGGCAGGTGTCGACATGTTTGTGTCAACTATGGCATGTGTTGACATGTTTGTGTCAACTATGGCAGGTGTCGACCTGGAAAACAGTGATTTGAGAAAAACGGCTATCATTGATGACGAAGTCGGTAAACTTGACATAGATATTGCTCACCTACATGAAACCCGTCTGCCAGAGGATGTGTGCATTGGAGAAAATATTGATACATTCTTCTGGAATGGCAGAGGCCAGAAATAAAGCCGGAAGTATGTAGTTGGATTTGAATCTCTTTGATTAAAGAATTCACTGCTGGGATCAGTTGAGAGTCCAACTGGAGTAAATGACATTATTATCCCAACAATTATCTACCTCAAGCTGTTTCTATCACACTTGTTACTACATACGTACCCACTCTAACGTCAACAGAGGACGCAAATGATTCTTTTTAAAAGAAACTGGATAATGTAGTTAAAGCAATTCCTAAATCTAACGACATCTACACACTTGGTGATTTTAATGCTCGCCTAGGGTCGGACTCAAACTCATGGCCAGTTTGTCTTGGAAAATATAATATAGGTCACGTGAATGACAATGGGCAGAGACTATTGGAATTCTGCACTAGAAGTGACTTGTGCTTCACAAACTCCTTTTTTAAAACAGAAAACGGCCATAAGGTGTCATGGGAACATCAAAGATCTGACCACTAGCACTAGTTGGACTTTATTCTCGCTAGGAGGCAGCACTTCAACTATGTGTCACTAACTCGCAGCTACCCAGTGTTGACCGTGATACTGATCATTCCCAAGTTGCTACAAGAGTTTGGATGAAACCAACAAGAATTTACGCTTCAAAAAGAAAAGAAATATATTCCCAGGTTAAATGCTTTCACTGATATCCAGGATAACTACAGCAAGCCTAAAATGGGATGTAATTGAGACGTCTACAAAACAGCTGCATCAGTCTATGGGATCAGAGAACATAGAAGTAAGGACTTGTTTGAAGCAAACAGCCAGACACTCCAACCCCCATTGACAGCAAAAAGTTAACACTCCTCAGAAACAAGCAAAGAACAACAAGGAACACCTTCCGTGAATAGAGAGTAACTAGACAGAGTGTCAATGATTATTGGATCCAGTTATGTGAAAGCATTTAAAATTCTAGCGGTAGTGGTAATGTTAGAGGCATGTATGATGTGACAAAGAAGGCCATCGGCTCAACTATTTAAACAATTTGCACTATTAAAGAGTTTGTGGGGGGGGGGGGGGAGTTATTCTTATTGACAAGAAGAAGCAGCTAGATAGATGTGTGGAACATTATCTGGAGCTGTATTCAGTTGACACTAAACAGATGTTGCTCTTATTGCTATTAAGACGCTAGCAACTCTTGACTATCTGGAAGCATTTTCATTACTGATGAACAGGGACTTCGGGAAAAAGCCCCAGGCAGAAATGGAATTGCTATTGAGATCATCAGGATTGGGAAAGACATTCTAACCCCACACATTTAGCAGTTAATAACACTCCATGGAAAAAGGGACAAGTTTCGCAAGACTTCAAAGACTTAAAACTGCAAAACTATGTGCAAGAACAAGGGTGATCGGAGTGACTGCAATAACTACAGAGGAATATCACTGCTGTGTACTGCCAGAATTATTTTGCGAAGACTCCAGATCCTGGGATACAAGGTTTACCCAGAGTTACAGTGCGGCTTTCGTGAAAACTAGTCTACCGCTGGTACGATATTTTCATTTTGACAGTTGCAAGAAAAATGCAGTGAATAAAATCAACCACTGCATGTTGCTTTCATTTATCTTACTAAGGCATTTGATTTGGTTAGTAGAACAGGTCTCTTCAACACACTGAAAATGATTGGGTGTCCACCTACCCTATTGAGCATGATTGAATCGCTCCACACAAGTATGAAAGGTACAATCAACTTTGATGGTGTAACATTGAAGGAGCTTGTAATCAACATCGAAGTGAAGCAGGGATGTGTACTTGCTCCTAACCTCTTTGGAATATACTTCTGATTCTTTTGGAACATGCTATTCAAAGTCAGGAGGGTGGCATATTCATCCATTCGCGATCTGACAGCAGCCTCTACAATGCTCGTAGACTGAGGGTCAAAACCAGGATAAGAAAGGTTCTTATCAGAAAGCTGCTGTTTGCAGCAATAACTACCCACTCAGAGGAGAAGCTGTAATATTTACTGTCTGCATTTGCTGATGTATGCTGTCAATTTGGACTAACAGTCAGCAAAAATAAGAAAACGGTTATGGTGCACGGTGTTAATGATAGACCTGCAGTCTACATTGACGGTGAAGAGCTAAACAGTTGACCATTTTACCTATCTGGCGTCCACAGTGAATAACAAACTTTCGCTGGATCAAGAAATCAACATCGTGGATAGGTGAGGCCGCAACAACAATGGGCAGATTAACAAAAAGAGTTTAACAACACTCTGGTCTATCAGGCTAATGTTTTCAGCACTCTGCTTTATGGCAGTGAAATTGGTCAACTTTTTAGAATCAGAAGAGACGGCTAAATAGCTTACACATGCGATGCCTAAGAAGAATAGTAAAAAAAAGTAAAGATCCCTTTTTACGCCTTTCGGCGCATCGGGCATATGGGCAGAGCGTCCCATATTTTTACAGACCATCAGCACTCTGTGGGTAATGTGGTCAGCATTACGCCGGCTGTCTTTACTTTCCCAGGACAGCCCATCCTGGTACCCATTTTAGGCTGGGTCGACCTGCGACGTCCCATACCACGATAAAAATCCACGCAGCCTGCAGTGGGTTTCGATCGCGGTATGCTGGCTTACGAGTCGGACTAGCAACGCCTTAGCCACGGACGCCGCGCCTAAGAAGAATACTTGGCATTAATTAGGTGGCAGGACAAAATCACAGACAATGAGGTACTGGAAAGAGCAGGCATTACAACAATCTCCCCAGTCTAGTAGGTGGTGGGTCACATCTGGAGAATGGAGGCTGGCACCGCCCTTAAGGACATCCGTTATCGTGAACTCAAGACTGGTAAAAGATGTTGAAACTAACCTCTACTACGATACAAAGACGTGTGCAAGCGGGACATGAATGATACAATTATTGAAGTGGACTCGTGGGAACAAAATGACATGAACCGTGTTGTGTGGAAAGGGCATATCAGAAAGGGAATGAGAGTGAAGAATAAAATGACTGTAGAAAAGATGAGAGCTGAGCGTCTGAGAAGAAACGGATTAAACACAAATGTTGACAACAGTGGTCCTGAAATCCCATGCTATCATTGTGGGAGATTTGTCTTGACACGGGCGGGTCTTGCTAGTCACACTCGCCATCGCCATGGGCTGTGAGTCCAATGCCTCCTCATTGCGCGACATAACACTATCGTCTAGGAAGACTGAAAGGTGCCAATCATGCCCTAAATCACACATGACAAATCAAATGCATCAAATCTCATATGATACACCACATGCCTTACATGAAATATGTTACATCATACACCTTACATCACATTTGATACACCACATGCCTTACATGAAATATGTTACATCATACACCTTACATAACATTTGATACATAACATGCCTTACATCACATATAATACATCATTTGCGTTACATAACATTCGATTCATCATATACCTTACAAAACACTTGATACATCACATGTTTTACATCACATATGATTCATCATATGCCTTACATCACATATGATACATAACATGCCTTACATCTAATATGATATAGCACACGCCTTACATTACTTGTGATACATCCCATACCTTACATCACATATGATATAGCATATGCCTTACATTACTTTTGATACATCCCATACCTTACATCACATATGATATAGCATATGCCTTACATTACTTTTGATACATCCCATACCTTACATCTCATATGATATAGCATATGCCTTACATTACTTTTGATACATCCCATACCTTAGATCACATATGATATAGCATATGCCTTACATTACTTTTGATACATCCCATACCTTACATCACATATGATATAGCATATGCCTTACATTACTTTTGATACATCCCATGCCTTACATCACATATGATATAGCATATGCCTTACATTACTTTTGATACATCCCATACCTTAGATCACATATGATATAGCATATGCCTTACATCAAATATGTAATTTGAGCCATGTCCGTGAGTGTTTATGTATGTGTCTGTAGGTGTGTCTGTGTGTGTGGCTGTGTGTGTATCTATATGTGTCTGTGCCTGTGTGTTCCTGTGTGTGTCTGTGCCTGTGTGTTTCTGTGTGTGTGGCTTCGTGTGTATCTGTGTGTGTCTGTGTATGATTCTATTTCTTAATGATTGCGTGTGTCTTTGTGTGTGTTTGTGTGTGTCTGTTTGTATGTATATGTGTGTGCCTGTGGCTGCACGTGTGTTTGTGTGTGTGTGTGTGTGTGTGTGTCTGTGTGCATCTGTGTGTGTGTGTTTGTAGGTGTCTGTTTGTGCGGGCTGCATATGTGTATGTGTGTATATGTGTCTGTATATGTCTGAATGTGTAACTGCATGCGTCTTTGAGTATGTGTTTTTGAGAGTGTGTCAGTGTGTGGGACAGTGTGTGTGACAGTATAAGTATGTATGTATGTGTGTAATTGTGTGTGTGTGTGTGTGTAGATATGTATATGTCTGTCTGTCTGTCTGTCTGTCTGTCTGTCTGTCTGTCTGTCTGTCTGTCTGTCTGTCTGTCTGTCTGTCTGTCTGTCTGTCTGTCTGTCTGTCTGTCTGTCTGTCTGTCTGTCTGTCTGTCTGTCTGTCTGTCTGTCTGTCTGTCTGTCTGTCTGTCTGTCTGTCTGTCTGTCTGTCTGTCTGTCTGTCTGTCTGTCTGTCTGTCTGTCTGTCTGTCTGTCTGTCTGTCTGTCTGTCTGTCTGTATGTCCCACATCACACACCTTACTTCATACACATTACACACACCTTACACCCTACACCTTACACCTTACATTCAGACCTTACACCACACACCTCACATTATACTCCCTATATCACACATGTTACATCACACGCCTTATACCACACACTTTACAGTATACACCTTATACCACGCGTTTGACAGTCCACACCTCACTACACATTTCACATACACCGAAAACACATATCTGACATCCCACATCTTACATCTAACACCTTACATTACACACCTTATGCCTACACACCACCTCACATACCTTAAATTGCCCACATTATGAACATTACATACCTTAGATCGCAAACCCAACAAACGGACAGCCTCTATGTTCAGAAACTGGGTAAAGGAGATGAGGCCAGCCTTGACCTGACCTACAGAGTTGAACTGCTGGATCATCTGATTCTCCAGCTTGGCAGTGACCACTCGGTTTTCTGCATGAAGACAGTGTCTGCAGAACCTGAGATAGTTGGTTTCTGTGATGTTCTCTGTTTCAAAAATATACACACTTGTCAGTCATAGCACAGGTAAAGATTCACTTGTCAATCAAAACAGTGACTCAGTGGTCAGTCATAGCACAGGTAAAGATTCACTTGTCAATCAAAACAGTGACTCAGTGGTCAGTCATAGCACAGGTAAAGATTCACTTGTCAATCAAAACAGTGACTCAGTGGTCAGTCATAGCACAGGTAAAGATTCACTTGTCAATCAAAACAGTGACTCAGTGGTCAGTCATAGCACAGGTAAAGATTCACTTGTCAATCAAAACAGTGACTCAGTGGTCAGTCATAGCATTGATATAGATGGGTGGTCAGTCATAAAACAAAATATAGACTCGGTGGTTAGTCATGGCACACAGTGATCAGTCCTAGCACAGATATAGACCCAGTGTTCAGTCATAGCTTATATATAGACCCAGTGGTCAGTCCTTATATAGATAGAGACCAAGTTATCAATCCTAGCAAAGTTGTAGATCTAGTGGTCAGTCTTAGCAATGACATAGACCAAGCTGTCAGTCCTAGAGCAGATATAGACGTCTTTGCCCTGGTATAAATATTTAAGAAATTAATAACTCTTTTGATATCAGCTTTGATTACTTACCATATCCTGTTCTAAGAAGTTCCACCTTGCCAGGAATCAATGATATACTCCAAGTAATCAATGATCTCCTTCAAGTAATCAAAGATCTTCAAGTAATCAATGATCTGCTTCAAGTAACCAGTGATCTCCTTCAAGTAATCAATGATCTCTTTTGAATAATCAATGATCTCTTTTAGTAATCAATGATCTCCTTTGAGGAATTAATGATCCCCTTTGAGTAATCAATGATCTCCTTCAAGTGATCAATTATCTTCTTTATGCAATCAATCATCTTCTTTAAGTAATCATTGATCTCCTGTAATAATCAATGATACCTTCAAGTAATCAACGATATCCTTAAAAAAAAATCACCTTCAGCAATCAATGATCCGTTTTAAGTAATCGGTGATCTCCTTCAAGTAATAACTGATCTCCTTAAAATAATCAATTATTTCATTCAAACAATCAATGATCTCCTTCAAGAATGATCTCATTCGAGTAATCAATTATCTTCTTTAAGTAATCAATGATCTCCTTCGAGTAATCAATGATCTCCTTCAAGCAATCAATGATCTCCTTCAAGTAGTCATTGATCCCCTTCATGTATTCAATGATCCCGTTCAAGTAATCAGTGATCCCCTTTAAGTAATAACTTTCAGCAACCAATGATTCCCTTCAGGTAATCAATGATATCCTTCAAGTAATCAATGATCCCCTCCAAATAATCAACAATACCCTTCAAGCTATCACCTTCACCAATCAATGATCCCCTTCAAGTAATCGGTGATCTCCTTTAAGTAATAAATGATCTCCTTGAAATAATCAATGATTTTATTCAAGCAATTAATTATCTCTTTTGAGTTAACCAAAATCTCCTTCCAGAAATCAATGATCCCCTTTAAGTAATCAACGATCTCCCTCAAGTAATCAATATTACCCTATAAGTAATTGATGATCTCCTTCAAGTAATCAATGAACTCCTTCATGTAATCAATCATCTTAAGGAATCAATGATCTACTTCAAGAAAATAATGATCTTCTTCTAGTAATCAATGATCTCCTTTAAGTAATCAAATATCTCCCGCAAGTAATCAATGATCCCCTTTGAGTTATCAATGGTCTCCTTCAAGTAATCAATGATCTCCTTCATGTAATCAATGATTTACTTTAAGTAATCAATAATCTCCTCCTTGTAATCAATGATCTTTGAATAATCAATGATCTCCTTTAATTCATCAATAAATCCCTTCAAGTAATCAATGATCTCCCTGAAGTAATAAATTATCTCTGTAGTGAACCATTTTCTCCTTGATAAATAATATTACAGAAATAATGACGTCAGGTAATAAATATGAATGAGATATTTAAATGTAACGAGTGCAAAGCCGAGGTGCACGTGGGAAATGTTGGCCGAATGAAACCTGTGTGAATTAGAGAACTAGAGAAAGTCGTATGTGAGCAATAATAATGTGGGTGGTAGAAGATTATATAAGGCCTTAGAAAGAGTATGTGGACCGTCTCGTTTGGGCCAAAAAAACTGTATGCATGGAGAGCGGAGAAGTATGTGTATGTGTCTGAATGTATTCTAACGCCTACCAGACCAGCAGCAAGGACTGACGGAAACTAACAGCCAGCTGATTGTGTCCGTTCGTCGTCATGGAGAACAGTTGTTTTTGTTCAATTGCTATTGTGTAATGGAAGTTGTGTTTTTCGGCTAAAAGGTGAAGTTGTTCCTTTTAAATACATCTTAGGATAGATATGAGTACCTAGACATGTCACCTCACCATGTACCGGCTGAAGAAATAGCGAGTGGTGAATAAAAACGAGTGAAACGGCATTGTATCGTTCACTGTCGTCCATTTTTCCATTGTGGTGTTAACTGTTGGTGCGAGAATGAGAAGTCTGCAAATGACTGGAGCCAAAGTGAATAAAAACAGAGTCATTGCAATCTGCTTCAAGTAATCAGTGATCGCCTTTAAGTAATCATTGATCTCCTTCAAATATTCAATGATCTTCTTTAAGAAATCAATTATTTTATTTACATAAATGAAAAAAAAAAAAAAAAAAATGTATTCAGATATAATGAGCTAATCTGTGAGAGAACACAGTCAGATATGTGTGCTGTCTGTGAGAAAAAAAAGTCAGAAATTTGCGCTATCTATGAGAGAATAGAGTAAACATGTTTGCGGTCTATGCAATAATCAAACAATGTTTGGTCAATTCCAGGGCACCAAAATAGTTCACAGCACACAAGCAGTCTATGAAGTGTACACAAAAATGGAAATAGTAAATAAAAATTAAACAACATGGACAACATTCAACGAATAATGACAAAAATATGACGTGTATTATTAAAAAAAAAAAAAAAAAGACAAACAGATACCCAGTCTGATCACTCATGTCCATTGTCTGATCACTGACCCATGTCCATGGTTACATACACCACAGTCTGATCACTGACCCATGTCCATGGTTACATACACCACAGTCTGATCACTGACCCATGTCCATGGTTACATACACCACAGTCTGATCACTGACCCATGACCATGGTTACACACACCACAGTCTGATAACTGACCCACATCCATAGTAACATACAACACAGTCTATTCAGTCACTCATGTCTTTTGTTACTGTCACAACCCTATGAGTACAGTCAGTGGCGGAATGGACCACACCGTAGGGTGTGCGTGTTTAGGTGACACCCCAAGGTTGACACAAAGGTCAGGGCCGTGACTGGTCAAGTCTGTGCTGTTATTGCACGGTGAAACTAGCGCTCAGGAGAACCGGCTTGGCGACGACAAGAAAGAGTGAACTCTGTTGCAGACAAGTTCGCAACACGATTACCCCTTTGGGGACTGAGCCTGGTGAACGGGGCAAAAGACACGAGGTGAAAGAAACACGGGACATTCGGTGGACAACGGTCAGACGAAGCAGACGTGTAGCGAGACAGTGATAGTATATTAGAGTTAGGATATTTCTTTAGTGACTGCATAGATTATTTACAGTGTTCTGTTAGAATAGGATAGTCCTTTGTGCTGTGTATTTAACTGGTACAAGGTATTGTGTTGTGCCACAAGAAGTAAATAGTGTCCTGTTACTTCTAACCAGTTAAATCGTTTAGGTACATGTTCTGTGAGAGAACGTCTAACCTTGTCACGCTGATCCTGCACTAGACAGAGGCTGTGACATCTTCTTGGTCGGTCAGTGTGGCGATAGAAAAGAACGTATCTCGCCTTGCTGTGGTTTGTGCACCAGGAGATTGCCTGTAGAACGTACTGGGGAACGAGGCGATTGTAAAGCCCGTTCGGCCAGAGGGTCCAGGCAATAGGTGGCCACACAGCGGGAAGTCAACTGTCTATTGTATTACCTGTACTTGCAATACAGATTGTCGTGTGTGCTCTGTGTGCGTTCGGGTTCAGTGTGTGTCAAAGGTTAGCTTGTCTGTCATAGGCCCAGTTACGAGCCACGGACCAGCAAGGTCACCCATAGGTCTGTGATAGTTACATACACCACAGTCTGATCCCTGACCCATGTCCATGGTTACATACACCACAATCTAATCCCAGACGCATGTCCATGGTTACATACACCACAGTCTGATCACTGACCCATGTCCATGGTTACATACACCACAGTCTGATCATTTGTCCATGTCCATAGTTACATACACCACAGTCTGATCCCTCACCCATGTCCATGGTTACATACACCACAATCTAATCCCAGACCCATGTCCATAGTTACATACACCACAGTCTAATCCCTGACCCATGTCCATGGTTACATCCACAACAGTCTGATCCCTGACCCATGTGCATGGTTACATACACCACAGTCTGATCACTGACCCATGTGCATGGTTACATACACCACAGTCTGATCCCAGACCCATGTACATGGTTACATACACCACAATCTGATCCCAGACCCATGTCCATGGTTACATACACCACAGTCTGATCCCTGACCCATGTCCATGGTTACATACACCACAATCTGATCCCAGACCCATGTCCATGGTTACATACACCACAATCTGATCCCAGACCCATGTCCATGGTTACATACACCACAGTTTGATCACTGACCCATGTGCATGGTTACATACACCACAGTCTGATCATTTGTCCATGTCCATAGTTACATACACCATAGTCTGATCACATGCCCATGTTCATAGTTACAAACACCATAGTCTGATCACTGGTCCATGTTCATAGTTACAAACACCATAGTCTGATCACATGCCCATGTTCATAGTTACAAACACCATAGTCTGATCACTGGTCCATGTTCATAGTTACAAACACCATAGTCTGATCACTGGTCCATGTCCATAGTTACATACACCATAGTCTGATCACATGCCCATGTTCATAGTTACAAACACCATAGTCTGATCACTGGTCCATGTTCATAGTTACATACACCATAGTCTGATCACATGCCCATGTTCATAGTTACAAACACCATAGTCTGATCACTGGTCCATGTCCATAGTTACATACACCATAGTCTGATCACATGCCTATGTCCATAGTTACATACACCATAGTCTGATCACATGCCTATGTTCATAGTTACGTACACCACAGTCTGATCATATGCCCATGTTCATAGTTACATACACCATAGTCTGATCACTGGTCCATGTCCATAGTTACATACACCATAGTCTGATCACATGCCCATGTTCATAGTTACATACACCATAGTCTGATCACTGGTCCATGTTCATAGTTACAAACACCATAGTCTGATCACTGGTCCATGTTCATAGTTACAAACACCATAGTCTGATCACTGGTCCATGTTCATAGTTACAAACACCACAGTCTGATCACATGCCTATGTCCATAGTTACAAACACGACAGTCTGATCACTGGTCCATGTTCATAGTTTCAAACACCACAGTTTGAACACTGGTCCATGTCCATAGTAACAAACACCACAGTCTGATCACTGGTCCATGTTCATAGTTACAAACACCATAGTCTGATCACATGCCCATGTCCATAGTTACAAACACCATAGTCTGATCACTGGTCCATGTTCATAGTTACATATATCATAGTCTGATCACATGCCCATGTTCATAGTTACAAACACCACAGTCCATGTTCATAGTTACATACACCATACCCTGTCACTGGTCCATGTTCATAGTTACATACACCATAGTCCACTGGTCCATGTTCATAGTTACATACACCCATAGTCTGATCACTGGTCCATGTTCATAGTTACATACACCATAGTCTGATCTGGTCACTTCACCTTGTCCAATAGTTACACATCTACCCCAGTCATAGTGGTCACTCACCCTGTCCAAAGTTACAAACACCCCAGTATGGTCACTGGTCCATGTCCATAATTACACATACCCCAGTCTATGGTTACAAACATCACTCACCCTGTCCAAAGTTACACATACCCCAGTCTGGTCACTCACCCTGTCCAAAGTTACACATACCCCAGTCTGGTCACTCACCCTGTCCAAAGTTACACATACCCCAGTCTGGTCACTCACCCTGTCCAAAGTTACACATACCCCAGTCTGGTCACTCACCCTGTCCAAAGTTACACATACCCCAGTCTGGTCACTCACCCTTTGAAATTTCTAAGTCAGCCAAAATTTTGAGTATGTTGGTGACCTCTTCATGGGTTAGTAAATGGTTCAAGGATACCTGGCATTGACACAAGAATACTTTTTTTTTAAAATCAGGACATACAACATTTTTTATCTGTCACGTTGACATGTCATGTCAACTAACATGAAACAGATTTAATCTGGACATATTATGTTAACTAACATGAAACAGATTTAATCTGGACATATCATGTTAACTAACATGAAACAGATTTAACCTGGACATGTCATGTCAACTAACATGAAACAGATTTAATCTCGACATATTATGTTAACTAACATGAAACAGATTTAATCTGGACATATCATGTTAACTAATATGAAACAGATTTAATCTGGACAAGTCATGTCAACTAACATGAAACAGATTTAATCTCGACATATTATGTTAACTAACATGAAACAGATTTAATCTGGACAAGTCATGTCAACTAACATGAAACAGATTTAATCTGGACATATCATGTTAACTAACATGAAACAGATTTAATCTGGACAAGTCATGTCAACTAACATGAAACAGATTTAATCTCGACATATTATGTTAACTAACATGAAACAGATTTAACCTGGACAAGTCATGTCAACTAACATGAAACAGATTTAATCTGGACATATCATGTTAACTAACATGAAACAGATTTAATCTAGACAAGTCATGTCAACTAACATGAAACAGATTTAATCTCGACATATTATGTTAACTAACATGAAACAGATTTAATCTGGACAAGTCATGTCAACTAACATGAAACAGATTTAATCTGGACAAGTCATGTCAACTAACATGAAACAGATTTAATCTCGACATATTATGTTAACTAACATGAAACAGATTTAATCTGGACAAGTCATGTCAACTAACATGAAACAGATTTAATCTGGACAAGTCATGTCAACTAACATGAAACAGATTTAACCTGGACAAGTCATGTCAACTAACCACCTGCAACATGTTCAGTCTTCACAAGTCATATAACTAATTACATGAAACACTTCTAATCTGGTCATGTCATGGCATCTGTATTGTCATCTGGACCTCTCATGCCATCTGACTGTATGTGTCCACCAAGTGACATCATAGTGGAATTATGTTAGATAATATCTGTATAGATCTCTTTGTATGGTTATGTTCATAAACCATACATTACTGTGTATGACAATGTTCCAATGTACTTCTTTTTCTCTTCTTTTTCTTGACGTCGTTTTACCGTTTCGGGTGTCGGGGGAGATATAAGGTCCTGCTTCGTACTCTTCTGGTTGCTTCTACTATAGGCATATCATGGTGCTGTAGAGTTTCTTTGATGTTATCTTCCCATCCTGGGTTTGGTCTACCTCTTGCTCTACGTCCCCTTTCTCTTTTTGTATATGCCTTGTATGGTATAGCATCAGAAGGTTTTCCCTCCAAGTGGGCAAACAATTTAATTTGCTATCTTTGTATGTAATTTAGAATTGGTTCTGTGTATGACCTCATTCCTGATTTTATCTCTCCTGGTCACTCCTACAGTCTTTCTTAGACACCTCATTTCCTTGGTCACTCCTACAGTCTTTCTTAGACACCTCATTTCCTTGGTCACTCTTACAGTCTTTCTTAGACACCTCATTTCCTTGGTAACTCCTACAGTCTTTCTTAGACACCTCATTTCCTTGGTCACTCCTACAGTCTTTCTTAGACACCTCATTTCCTTGGTCACTCTTAGTCTTTCTTAGACACCTCATTTCCTTGGTCATTTCTACAGTCATTCTTAGACACCTCATTTCCTTGGTCACTCTTAGTCTTTCTTAGACACCTCATTTCCTTGGTCACTCCTACAGTCTTTCTTAGACACCTCATTTCCTTGGTCATTTCTACAGTCTTTCTTAGACACCTCATTTCCTTGGTCATTTCTACAGTCTTTCTTAGACACCTCATTTCCTTGGTCACTCTTAGTCTTTCTTAGACACCTCATTTCCTTGGTCACTCTTAGTCTTTCTTAGACACCTCATTTCCTTGGTCACTCTTAGTCTTTCTTAGACACCTCATTTCCTTGGTCATTTCTACAGTCTTTCTTAGACACCTCATTTCCTTGGTCGCTCCTACAGTCTTTCTTAGACACCTCATTTCCTTGGTCACTCCTACAGTCTTTCTTAGACACCTCATTTCCTTGGTCACTCCTACAGTCTTTCTTAGACACCTCATTTCCTTGGTCACTCTTAGTCTTTCTTAGACACCTCATTTCCTTGGTCACTCCTACAGTCTTTCTTAGACACCTCATTTCCTTGGTCACTCCTACAGTCTTTCTTAGACACCTCATTTCCTTGGTCACTCTTAGTCTTTCTTAGACACCTCATTTCCTTGGTCACTCTTACAGTCTTTCTTAGACACCTCATTTCCTTGGTCACTCTTAGTCTTTCTTAGACACCTCATTTCCTTGGTCACTCCTACAGTCTTTCTTAGACACCTCATTTCCTTGGTCACTCTTACAGTCTTTCTTAGACACCTCATTTCCTTGGTCACTCTTACAGTCTTTCTTAGACACCTCATTTCCTTGGTCACTCTTACAGTCTTTCTTAGACACCTCATTTCCTTGGTCACTCTTACAGTCTTTCTTAGACACCTCATTTCCTTGGTAACTAATTTATTTTATGTCTTGTGAGTGCCTCAGGCACTGACAGCATAGGGTGAGAATTATTATGCTTTGTATGAGATATCTCTTTGAGCTGAATGGAATTGCCTTATGCTGTAAGAGGGAGGCTGGCTGTCCCAATACTTGGCCAGCTTTACTGCATCGGATGTCAGTTTCTCCATCCAATCTACCATCATCGGCGAATTTTGTTCCAAGATATTTAAACTCAGATTTATGTTTAATATATTTATGCTCTAATGCTATGTTGAAATCCCGCTTCTTTCTTCCTATTGACATTACTTCTGTCTTTTCGATGCTAATTCGCATATTACTTGATTTACATTCTTCATTCATGGATGTGAGATGCTGTTGCAAATTCATGGCTGTACCTGCAATCAAGGCCTGTTCTTCAGCAAAGAGTAATTCGTTGATATTACTATTATTTTTGTTCCGGAGCCTGGCATCCTTGCTTATACTGTCAACGTAGGTAAAAAACAGCAGTGGTGATAAGACACACCCCTGTCTTACTCCAGATGTTACTTTGAATAATTTAGATGTTCCTTGGTTTACTCTAACTACGCTTCTACAATCCTATATAAGCTTTTGCAAACTTCATTGAGGTGTTCACTTACTCCATATCGAACCATTAATTTCCATAATTTTGGTCTATCGACGAAAGCTTTCTCCTAGTCTATGAATGCTACAAATAGGTTCTGATCATAATCGATGTTTTTTTGTTCTATTAAATGCTTAAGTCTGAAGACTGCATCTGTGCAGCTTCTATTTCTTCTGAAACTCATCTGTTCTTCTTTCAACTGTTGTTTTATCAACGGTCGCAGTATCGTTTCTATTATCTTAGCATACATTTTCCCAACATGACTGGCGACCGCGTTAGCGCAGTCGATAGGAGACTCGCTTTCAAATTCACCTGCGACTTTCTGCAGCACACGGCTGGTATTCGAAACCGGGCAGTTTCCAGGGTTCACCCAGCTTCTATGTAATAGATACCAGAGTTAATACTGGGCTAAATGGAGGAACGTCGCTGTAGCTACGGAGTTGCTCGCGGACGACGACACAATCGGACAGTTTCTTATCAGCTGTCCGTACTGGCAGCAGAGCACTTATAGTTTATAACCGTGTGCAATGACATTTGTTAACATCTCCCGACTTTACCTTTCTTTACCCAACATGACTAACAAGAGAGATACCTCAAAATTGACTGCATTCTTGCTTGCTTCCCTTGTTCTTCCACAGTGGAACAAATATTGCATGTTGCCAGTCCATGGGAACAGTTTGTTATACCCATGACACACTGAATATTCTATGGAGCCATCTAATGTTGGTTTCACCTGCTGCTTGGATTATTTTTGTTGGCAGTCTATTAGTTCCTGTTGCTTTATATTTGGGGGACTGCCTAATGACTTTAACTACTTCAGTAATTAGTATATCAGGTTGTAGAACTATTGCTTTGTAGTCTTTGGTTGTTCTTTCCTGGCAATCTGCTATAGGGTTGAAGAGCTCACAGAAGTATTTTCTGCATCTTTCAGCTATCTCCGGAACTCTGTATACAGAAAGAAATTGTTATGACTTGAAGGTTGCACTGGCAAAACAGGCAGTCATGTTTGATGGTTGCTGAATTAGTAATTCAGTCATAAAGGATTCACTTATCTGCTTCATTTACGTAATTGTTACTGTAGTATGCACCTGACTAAATTCAACGAAATATACCAGGCAATAAATTTGTTCAAATTAATTACTACTGTTGGGTCGTAGCTCTCATATCATTTTCGCATAGTTGTTACTACTGTTGGGTCGTAGCTCTCATATCATTTTCGCATAGTTGTTACTACTGTTGGGTCGTAGCTCTCATATCATTTTCGCATAGTTGTTACTACTGTTGGGTCGTAGCTCTCATATCATTTTCGCATAGTTGTTACTACTGTGAAAAATTGTTCTGCTGGCTGTTTTCCCACTTTCTGCTAATGACTCTCCGAAAGGTTTCTAGGATTCTTGTTTCGCTTCCTTGATCCTCTGGTTGGTGTCTCTTTGTTGCAGTCTATAGCTTACAGAATCATCATCTCTCTTCGATAAATCTGTTTTTTTCTTCTTAACTGCTATTTATACTTCTTCATACCACCAAGGCTAATACTTGTTACAATTCCGTCTACTTCCTCTCTTTCTTTTTCCACATAATTCTTCAGCAATACTAAGCAAGATGGTTTTATATACACTCCATTCATCCTCAGTATTCCCCACCACAGGCGATAGTTGTTTGAATGCTGTCTCTACTTTCTTTTGTAATTGTTCTTGTACTCCTTCTTGCTTCATACCTGCTGTCTTGATATGATCATTGTTTTAAGTTAATTTCTTTTTGTGTTTCTTGAAGTCGAGATATGTTGCTGTCATCACAACTATTTTATGGTCGGTGTCA